GTCTCTGTGAAATTTTGTTAAATGGGTTTCATTTTCACCTTTGCAAGATCGATGATTCCAATAGTAAAAGGACTCAGTTGGGTTTTATGTTCGAGGAAAATGCATTAACAACTTCAAAAATCGATGCGTTAACTATATAATCATTACATGATAGACCATTGGTAGTTCTTGTGTGCTTATCTTTAACCTTATTTTTATTTGTATAGTATGTATTTAATCTCTTGGTAGTTCTTATAACTAATATAAATTGGATCTCTAAACATTTGTATTCATAAGAATCTAATTTTCACATGTTAGATCTCTCCATAATTCACTGAAAGTCTCTGTTTTTACATTTTAATTCTGGTTTTCTAAGAGTTTCGGTTTAGATTTCGAGATATATATGGCTTTACTATATGATGATTATGCAATTTTGTTCTTGAAGTGAAACAATATTGATACCATTTTCTTTTGCAGGGTGAGATCATTTTGGTCTCCTATGAATATGTTTAACAACAATACAGGGATTTTCCGGGGTTTAGTTTCTAGCCCGGTGGCTCGGTTTTCCGAGCGTTCTGATTCGCTTACCGGTTTCAACGATGATCTGTCTGATGAAGAAATGGGTATAGARGAGCTTGAGAAGAAGATCTGGAAAGACAAACAGCGTTTAAAGCGGCTCAAGGAGTTGGCGAAGATCGGGATCAGTGAAAGATTGTTAAAGCAGCCTGATGATTGTCAAGAACATTCGAGTAAGAGAATGATGTACAAGACACAAGATGGTGTCTTGAAGTACATGTCTAAGGCAATGGAGCGTTGTAAAGCTCAAGGTTTTGTTTATGGGATCGTGTTAGAGAACGGAAAAACGGTAACTGGATCTTCTGATAATCTCCGCGAATGGTGGAAAGACAAAGTAAGGTTCGATAGGAACGGACCAGCTGCTATAATGAAGCACCAAAGAGAGAATTCCTCTGATGGAAATGAATTAGGGTCTGAGTTTGAGGGGAGTACTGCGGATAAGTTGCTTGAGCTACAAGATACAACTCTTGGAGCTCTTTTATCGGCGTTGATGCCTAATTGCAAGCCTCCTCAGAGGCGATATCCGTTGGAGAAAGGCGTGACACCGCCTTGGTGGCCAACGGGAAAAGAAGAATGGTGGAATCAATTGTCTTTACCCGCGGATTGGCGAGGACTTCCTCCACCTTACAAGAAGCCTCATGATCTCAAGAAGTTGTGGAAAGTTGGTGTCTTGATTGGTATAATCAGGCATATGGCTTCAGACATTAACAACATACCGAAAYTCGTGAGACGGTCTAGAAGTTTGCARKAGAAAATGACTTCAAGAGAAGGCTCTTTATGGCTCGCTGCTCTTAACAGAGAAAAAGCCATTATTGATCAGAATCACTACTCTTTAAGCTACTCTAGAGAAGACAACAACAACACTTCTAGTCTTCTTGTTCCTGGAAGCGGCGGCGACACAAATCTTCTATTTCCTGAATCTGCAGATTATGATGTTGAAGGGACTGGTGGATCTAATCTTCGATTCAATCCTCAAGTCCCTGAATTTGGCAACTACAACAACTTCAATTGTGTTTACAAGAGGAAGATCGAAGAAGATTTGGAGATGTCAATGCATCCAACAATCTTAACATGTGAGAACAGTCTCTGTCCTTCTKGCCAACCACAAATGGGATTTCATGACAGGAACATAAGAGAGAATCACCAAATGACTTGTCCTTATAAAGCCACTTCCTATTACCAACCCACTAAACCCTTTGGTATGTCTGGTTTAATGGTTCCTTATCCGGGTTATAACCGGAGTCTTCATGGAAGCAGACCGGAGAATCAAGTGACAATGCAGCAGCAGCAACAGGTTCAGAGGGTTCAAGACCTGTTTAATCCATCTAACAGACCAAAAGCACCACAAAGAGGAGGCAACAATGGTTATCTGTCTGAAAACCGGTATGATTTGGTTGATACTGGTTTAGTCTTACCTAGTAGTACTGACTACAATGGCAATTTGGAAAGAGGAGGAATGGTGAACAATCAAGAGGAAGGCTTGCCCATGGCTTGGGTTGAGTAAATGCTTCATGAGTTTTTTTCTTTCTAGTTTTATTATAGCTTTAATGTTGTTTCTTGCTTTTTATTTTCCTCATTGACATCATCAGTTTTTGATCTCTCCATTTTTTATAGATGGAGAAGATTAGGTTTCAGAATTATTCTAAGTACTTCATTATTCTATATGATGAGTCTTTTTGTCTGATTTTTAGAGAACTTTTCATCATCAAAGTTAAGATGAAATAATATGATTAGGATGGGCATAAGGATATGATGTTTTTATTTTGTGCTTTTGAGATAGTTTGAAAGGTGGTGTTATAGACAAAACTGGGCCCATAGCTTCTGGGTCTTAAGTAGATTATAAAATTTGGGCATCTTTTTTTTGTGATATACAAACAAATTTTGAATTAAGAACAATATTTTTAAATTTAAACTAATGTTAAAACATTTATTTTACTTTATTTGGTTTTTGATTGACTATAAAATACTTCCATCTTATCATTGTTACCATTTACTATACTAGTCAATTGTATATATATTTGTATTCCTCATTTGCAAATCTTCATTTTCATCTCTTAAGATTTGTTTTTATATAATTACTTGCTCTATATTTCATTCATATCTGCAAACCTTCTATAGTAGTCAGCAATGGAATGTTTACTAGATATCAATCACAAATATTAATTAATAATTCTGTCACAAAATCCATCAAAATGATATTCATGCAATCACGTCGTAATTTCTGATTATACACTTTCTTTATAAAGTACATAAACAAATATTCATTCTCTGCTTCGCAATCAAATTGATTTACATAAACATAAACAATTTACCAATCAAATTGATTTGAAATTCAATCCCAATCAAATATTTATACCAAAACATATATTCATTCTCTGCTTCGCAAACTAATCAGAATTTTTTTTTTTCCTCCGCTGAGATAACCGCAAACGATGACCGGCGAGAACAACTCCGGCGGATTCGTAGCCGACAAAGACGACATCCACAGAACAAAGCGACCATCGATAGACACCAATGATAGTAATTCGAGCCGATTCTCCGGCGAATCTCAGAAACCGAAAATCGGACCACCGCCGGGGACTTACGTCATCGAACTCCCTAAGAATCAGATCTTCCGCGTACCTCCGCCGGAAAATGCTCACCGTTACGAGTACCTCTCTCGCCGGAAACCAAATCAAACGAGTTGCCGGCGATGTTTCTGCTATTCACTCACCGCCGTACTAATCCTTCTCGTCCTCGCCGCAGCCGCCGTCGGAATCCTCTTCCTCGTTTACCGGCCGCAGAAGCCACAGTTCTCCGTGAGTGGATTCTCAGTTGCCGGAATCAACCTGACGTCATCGTCTCCGATCACTCCGGTGATCGAAGCCAAGGTTCGATCTCAGAACGGTAATGGTAATATCGGTTTGATCTATGTGGAAGGAATTGCGGCTGAAGTTTTTTACAACGGAACCAAACTTGGTAACGGAGTGTTCGCGGCGCTTAAACAGCCGGCGAAGAATGTAACGGTGATGACGACGGCGTTAAAGGGATCGAGAATCCAGTTAACGAGCTCGTTGCGTAAAGAGTTAACGGAATCGCAGAAGAAAGGGAAAGTTCCGTTTAATCTGAGAATTGAAGCGCCGGTTAAGTTTAAGGTTGGTGCCGTGACGACGTGGACAATGACCGTTAAGGTGGACTGCAAAATAACAGTGGATAAACTAACGGCATCAGCTACTGTGATAACGGAAATTTGCGATACGGGATTAAGCCTGTTGTGAAAAAAGTTATGTTCGTGGGCATTTCTGATTTTGGTTTGGTTTGGATAA